AAAACAGTTTGTATCTCTGTAAGCCTAGGGTTCTTTTCTGTGTCACCGGTCTGTGTCACCATACGCGATAATAGAACGTTAACATAAAAAAAAAAAGCTACGCCATCTCAAGTTGTAGGGGCACGGCATGCAAGTAGACAATAATCGCTACTGCTGTAATCTTTAGCGCAGTCGAGGTAACTAACCTGTGGTAGAAGTAGCGGCGAGTGCACTGAGCCGTTGACGATATGTCGTGCCCCGACGAGTGGGCGTGTAGTGGTCGTTTATGTAGCGCGCTCAGCGAGGCTGCGTATTTTTGGAACCGATTGCTACCCAGGGGGCGTGGCCAATGACGTCACGGACGTCAGAATAACAGCTTTTATTTTGACGTCAACAACAGGTTTTCTTTGGATGCCGCTGACTACGCTTTGAAATGTCGGTCGCTCGGCGTGTGTGGGGTCGGTTGTTCGGCGGCTCGGCGGTGCCCGCGCTGGTGCGTGTAGTCGACGTTGCCGCCTGTACTCGTCGCGTTCTCAGGAACATCAAAATAAGCGTTCTTCATCATTTCAAACTTCGCCCGGTGCCGTCCGTCACTCCTGCTGCAAATGAAGATTACGTGTACCCGAGGCGACAGAGCCCAGCCGCAGTAATTTCGTACGTTTTTTTCCGGAGCTGTGACCGCCGCATTCACACTGGAAGCGGATCCGCGTTCGCAAAGCGGTTGCGAACACGGTTGTATAAAGATTCAGTACAATCGCACGCGCACTTGATGTCATCGAGTGCGCGTGCAATTGACATAATATATCCTGGGACGAACATATCTATTACTTATCTAAAAAGTTATCAAAAACGGTAGTACTGATGTGTCGGCATCGATATATATATACTTCGGATACCTCGATGAAGATTATACTGTAAAAGTTATTATTTTATTCTCATTTAAATCATTGTTCGTCGGTCGGGGAATGACCACTGGAACAAACCTAGAGATAGTGAAACCGATTCAAAAGAGGATGCTGCGCATAATTGCAAGTGCACCATATATTTCGCAGACAGAAAGCCTATTCCAAAATTAAAATATACTCATTACAATTAGCTATCCATAACACATAAAACAAAAGAGTGACGTAAAACCTCTTCCTTCATAGGACTGGGTAATAGGCAGCGAAATCTCGCAACCTACGAATTAGGAATCTTCACTATTTGCAAGAGCACGGCTGCGTACCGGTAAAGGAATGTTGGCCTACCGAATCATGAGACTAAGTTCTCTATATCAACACCATGAATTATCCCGGGTTAAGGAACATTGCATATACCTTTTCATTATGGGATCTATAATGCTTTGATTATCCAACAGTGTCGTTCAAAATGTTTATAGTGCAGAATCTAATATCGCAACTCCAGCCCGCCGCTCGCCCTCTAGCGGACGAGCGAAAAACCAGAGGAGCGGGGACGGTGGCGGAGACGGTGGAAGGGATCGTCGCGCTTGGTGCGGCTGTTCGATCGGCGTGTTCAAGCATCATGCAGTTCTCACTGAAAGAGCGAATGCGTTAAAATGGGAATTGTTGTGGTCCGCTTTGCAACAACACTGCACAAGGTTATTCTGATGTCTCATTTCATTGGGAACTTTTCGTAGATCGCATATGCTGCGGGTTTCGGGTCCTCCGGTCACCAGCAGATTTTGTGCTCAACGTGACGGCAAAAGCTCTCCTTAGTTGTGCAAAAGTCTTGCGTATTATCTAGGAAAAGTTTACTCTTTCCGGAAAGTAGAAGAGAACTGCTTGCGCAACGGTGTATCGAGCGATAGACATCGGGAATGGGTTCACATTTTATGCCCTGAAAGACCGTGACAAGAAACATGATAGTTGGCTCCAAGCGCTTTCAAAAGCCAGACTACGCATGCCTGCTTTCAGCTAATTCCAAAGGCAAATGAAGAAATGCTTGTAGAATTTTTAAGCGTGTCTGTGTGCCGACCGTGAGGTGTGCTTAGAACGGGCAGTTTTGCTGAGGGCTGTCTTGACGATGCGAATAACACGACACTGGAACGTTTCTTTTGGTAGAGCAATAAATAAGACCGCCGAACATGCCGATGCCGTTGCTATGCAGTCCTTGCATTGCGTTACCATAGGCTACCGTGGACACGACAACAAACCTGGCGTACGCTGGAATACATGTTTAAAGGTATGCTCGAACTTTTGGTCGCAATGCCTCACGTGTTGCAGTGCACTAAAGCCGCGACGGTGTGCAGTGAGCTGCGAGCCTCTGACACAGAGACATTGATACAGTGAGCGTTGCCCTACCGGAGCTTGACGGTCACCATGCGTGACTCACGTTTTAAACCAAGCACAGCGCAAACACCACAATATTTTCACCCACCCACAAAACTATTTTGCTACACACAATGATGTGACCGGCGCACAAAACACGTTCGGCTTCCACAAGGCGTCACAAGTTCTGTGATGTTTCTAAAGCCTCTAATAAACGACATGCTGGTTGTTCTGATGTACGCAAACATCTCCGTCACCTGCGATATGCTCTTGCCCTGACTGTTTTGCATCTGTAGCCAAATAAATTAACTTAAGCACACCGACCAACGTCAGCGAGCTGGCGCATGGAAAATCTTGCAACTACCGTCCTGCGAAGAATGCAAAACTTCTATTGCTTTCTTTTTTTTAAGATTGGGGGGGGGGGGGGGGGGGGGGTTGGCCAAGTGTAGAGTGATAAATTGTCTACTTTGTTTAAACGTTCCTGTTCCTCTGCTGCTGCAGAATGTATAGAAGCCGAGAGCTCGTCAAGCCGTCTATAGTGAGGTTTTATTTTCTCGGTTCCTATATAGCATTCACTTAAAAAATGTAATAAAATCATATGTTAAAAAAAAGTCAACGAACACGCCAACTACGAAATTACAGTGACCAAGTCTTCGCTTCAGTCTCGGGTAATTTATCAAAATGCCAACTATACAAGCTCTTTTTTTTTTTTTTTTCAAAGATTTCTAATGCGTTTTTTCTTTTATTTAACAAAGCTAATTTTGTTGAACAATGTTTTCTGAACCCAGAATATCAAAATTAGTATTTCAAATACTTGTTTTTTAGAAGCTGCCCAAATAGTATTTTGTGCACTGTTGTTCGCAATCGAATTCGATTTTGGGCGCTCTTTGCGATGAGAGGGATGGAAAAACCACAAAACCTGCTGGACTTTGCGCAGCAAGTCTTGTACCGGCCTATCATAGACCAAATAACTTTAACTTTTCAAGCTGCAACTTTATTTCTAATTTGGGCATGGTCTCTATTTATTTATTTGTTTATTTTTTTGTGGGGAAAGGAGGGGAGTAAGTTTAAGTCTAATATCTCAAATTGGTGGAAGCAAATTGTATATCTAGAAAGATTTAAAGATGATCAAATATCCTTTGTTGTATCTTTATGTTATATTTAACTTTTTTTCTGAAACGTGCAGTTGGATATGCAAATAAATTAATTTTTGTTTAAGTATTTTGTATTTGTATTTTGATACGTTTTTGCAAGTATTTTGCCTATCTTTGGACCACACCAATTTAAAGCAAGCTGTCATACAAGTATTGGAAGACTCCTATTCGAAGCGAGCTGTCATATAACTATTGGAACACACTAATTAAAAGCAAATTGTTATATAAATAACGAAACACAACCACCCAGAGCAAGCTGTCATGGAAGTGTTGGAACATACCAATCCAGAGAAAACTGGAAGCTTTAAATATTATTTCTGCAAAAAGTCAATCTGCCTTTGAAAATTGGCAATACTGGTTAAACCTTGTAAAGGGTCAATTTAGCCAAGGCACTGGTTGATAGCCCTGGAAGTTTTAAATGGTAACTTCGGTCAAAAGGCGAACCATAGTAAAATGACTGATATCGATTTTCGAGCACTGCCAAAATATTACACTAATGGGAAACCACGATCCACTCTATAAAACCGATATTAAAAATGCTACTACCAGCTTCTCATTGAGCATTCAGCAGACTGGCTGTTTGTCAAGCAACCTTGTGCCTTGGTGTCATCTTCGTTTTCAAGGAGGTTTCTTGTTCGTATTGCCACTTTTTTCGCCGTGTTTTTTTGATGCGTTTTCAGCTGTCTCAGCGGACCATTTCTGCTTGTTATGTTTTAGCGGCCGTATAGTTAGTAAGTGCTATTGGGCGATCACGCACAAAGATTATTTATTCCTTTCTTGCTGAAGCGCGTCGCGGTGCCGTAAATGGCGTTCACTGGCGGCCGTAGTTCAGTCCGTTCCTGCTCAGCGCGAGCTTACGATTAGCTCCCACAACGCCTCTGCAATGTGAATTGCACACCACCACGATTGTTGTTCTCAGACAATAAGTGGGGTCTCATTCTGAGCCTGCGTTCATCGTGGCAAACTCGCTTTTCGGCCGGCAACTTTATGAATGTGTATTTATATTTGTTACAAATGTTCGACATTTGCAAAGCAAAGCAGTAAAACAGCCATAGCCTCTTACCTGACTGGTCGCCACTGTTCTTGTGACTATAGACCAGTCGAACGTTTTGCAATACAGCAGAACGAACTTCGCGCCACACGATGGCCATGCAGATGATCACAAGTGTTGCCATCAAGCTTGACCCAGTGGTTTCGGTTTCGGCGTCAACGTCCGAAACAATACGTTTGAGATAGGATATCTCGAAAACTACAAAAGGCACCGGAAGAAAACTTACACCTCATAATGCAGGGACACTTCCTTCGCTAAAAACAGTCACTACCCTAAACTCGAGAGAATATACCGGAGTTACCTTTCCAGTGCATTACGCGATAGTATTATAGTTACATATCGCAGGACGGTATGATCCCCGTCCATGGTCTTCCAAGAAACTGTTGGAGGAATGTTTTTCTTAAAGCCTGTTTCCTCGCGGAAGTTTATTTTCTTGTGGAAGGCGATATACCCTTGTATTTTTTATTGCTTTACATCCTTGTCATTTTTCCACTGCTCCACATTACTTGATCAATGCCCGTCCGGTACCCTTTTTGCACTGCAGCCCTGACGAGGCATGTGGCCACAGCAGCCGAGCCCCAGATGCCGCCGTGCAACTTCACACCGGAGCCGTACCGGGTATGCCCTACTTCACACCTCGGATAGTTTCCATTACTTCTTCTCTATTACAGCGGCAGTCTGTAGTACCAACACTTCCTAGACTAGCTCCGCGCTCTTTCCGCATGGCCAAAAAGAAAGCCATCGGGGCTGCGCTGGAGCGCAGAAGAGAAGGCAACACGCGTGGATTTATCGTCATAGCAACGAGTTATTATTGATGCAAGCGTGCTCACTTCCTTAAATGCCAACAAGGCACAAAATTTGGGTTAGGAAGCTGATTTTCTTCGACTAGCAAATTAATCTTGCACAAAATCATCGATGCAAAATGCAAGAACAGGGTTGGTGTAAACCGAGGTCTCGAGGTAGATAGGGTTTACTTTTAAGAAAGGGCGCACCTCAGAGCCCCATAGAGAATACATGAGGTTTTTCGCTATCTCCGAAAAATTCGAATAATAACGGCTGCGCGGATCTTCTTGCGAATTCCGGCTGTAAGGGTGCTGTGCAACGATTTTAACGTTGAAAGAATTGGCATCTTCTGCTTTTGATGTTCACCTTGTCACAAATGACAGAAAACACACCTCTTCTCATCGAAATGTTGCGATTCCGCCGCGTAATAGCGAGGCAAAACTTAAAATATTCCCCGACCTGCAGCCGCGAGCGGCGGCCATGAGAAACACGCGGCGTGACGTCAGTGGGGAATCTTGTAGAAAGATAGCAAGTTGTGCGAATACCTGCTCAATAAAAGGTAACTTTTCTATAAATCTTGTCGTTCCAACATATATATATATAAATGCGTCAAAAACCTGGTATCATCAACAAAACTTGTATTATACGGAGTTTTAGTGCCGCCATCTATCCTAGGTCCACAAAACCGTAACAGCCGCCAGAAGCCGGAGGGGAAGGGGGACAGGGCCGGACGTGTATGGCCGGACCCTAATGAGACTTTCCTCCTTTCACCATATTGTTCGCGCGGCGCCCGCCAGCACGTGGTCACGCGGTCGCGAGCGGATGAGTTCTCGCTGCTCACTGATGGCTCTAAGGAGAGCACTTTTCCGGAACCCCGCGCCTACTCAAGTGACGTCACTGCGCACGTGACCCGGAACACGACGTACAAGTTGAGAGGCGGCAAAAACCTGGATCTTTTTCATTTTTTTTTAAATATAAACTAGGGTATCCAAGCAAAATCTGTTTTCTGTAGTTCACCGCAGAAGTGTCAGGGGGTAGGCAATCGGAGTGACAGCCAGTTGGTACCTTGGTTTGACGTTTTTGTTCTCTTTGTTGTTGTTGTTGTTGTCTCTTTGTTGTTCTCTTTGTACATTGTAAGGTCAGCAGTTTCTTTTTTCGGTTTTTATTATGAAAGGAAGAGAGGGGGCGCACCTCAGAGCCCCATAGAGAATACATAAGGTTTTTCGTCATCTTCGAAAAATTGTCACATATACAATAACGGCTGCGCGGATCTCCTTGCGAATTCCGGCTTTAAAGACATTGAGGCATTTTCGAGACATTAAATGGAAGAAATGTTTTATTATAAATTTAATCGTATTCTTTTAAAAATGAAAATGGTCAAAAATAAGCCAAAATCGGCTAATTCGGCCCTCTTGCGTTCGGAGCGAATTTACAAAATTATCTAAATGTAAACAGATAAAGTATTTCATTGAATGTCTTCTAAATTTATTACGGAATCGAATAATATCGAAATTATTCATGTAAGTCGATCTGTTCCGTAACTACAGCGAATTAAAAGAACCAATGTGTCGGTGCCTGTTTTCATTGTTTTTAAGGTATCTCTCTCTCCCGTGAGGCCGCGCTCGCTGTCCACGAAATCGTCCGTTCGGCGATCGTACCGTGAAGGTGTTCTTCCGCGCCCGTATCCTGTTTCATTCTGCAAGTCAGTGTGCGAGTCTCACTTTCCTGGTTCTTTGGTGGATAGATCTCCCTGTGGTGCTGGTTTAACGCAGCTGCGCTTCGCGTTTTGGGCGTCCGAATTTGCGTCGCTCGGAAATGTTGCATTCGCCTTTGGTGTCATGGATCGAAAGTAGAGCACTGGACGGGCCGGAATTTCTAGGCTCGGCCCGACCCGGTAAAGACACGGCCCGGGCCCGGCCCGAGTCCGACAAAAATTTTAAACATAAACCCAAGCACGTCAAAAAATGAAAAAAGGAAAAATGAGGCTGAGCCCGGCTTGAGCCCGACAGATTATAAACATGATCCCGAAAATGTTTGCAGGCTTCAATCTAAGAACTGTCTAAGCATAAAGCATTCGCTCTCCTAACGCGCTGCCAGAGTACATACGTTTTCTTTTAGTCACTTAGAAGCTTTCCAAGTGCAAGACGTATTTTTGTTATATATTTTGAACGGCGCCGTGGTGACTTTGCTCTTCGCTTGTTTGTTTTCATTGACCCTAAAAGATCAATGAGCACACTTTTTGTTTTTAAAATTTGCTGCACACGACTGCCCGGGCCGGCCCGGGCCGACACGAAAAATGTTTTTTTCAAGCCCGACGCCGGCCCGGGCCCGAGAAAATGCGTGCTACCGGGCCCGAGCCCGGACCTCGGGCTGGGCCGGGCTCGGGCCCTTCGACTGGCCCGGGCCCATGCAGTGCTCTAGTCGAAAGCAAGCTCCCTGGGGCAAGCGAAAGCTTCTGAAGTCTTACATTGAGAATACTCGCAAGCGACCGTCTGCGGAAGCTTCACACGTTGAGGTTTCTAGTGAGATCGAAGTATCGTTGAAGTTATGGTTCAATGAAGCCCTAAACAAACATGAATGTAGTTGGTGTAGACATCAAGATCTAATCAGAAATGCGGTTTGACTTCGTTTAATTCACGTGTTTATACAAGTGTAGCAATAAATCAGTTATTTGTGCATACATGTTTAAAAAAGTGTTTTGTTATTTGACATAGGCCGTTGGAAGAAGGATGGGTTCAGATCTTTCTTCATCAGTGCAAATACACTTGACGTAATAAATAGTGACGATTTCGTCGTCCCAGTGGTGAGCATGCAGGTGATTTCTTGCTAAAAAAGATATGCCATTTCAGAAACCAAGTTCTGTGACAAATGCTTTTTTAATGTCTGGCCGCTATTTCAGAAACGTTTCAGTCCATTATTTTTGCTAGCTTAGGAGGTGGTCAAAGAGCCTATCTTTTTATGTTCCTCCAGGACAGACGTACAGAGTTGTACCGCAACACGCATCTGTGCAACACTCAGAGCTATCGCTCTCCTGTTGGCGGTACAGTAGCAGACGACACAACCTAGCTCCGTAGTCGAGCAACACCTCCGAGTGGTTACGTCACAATGTTGGAGAAGGAAGTCCATGGCGCAAGCCGCGCAACTACGTGAGAAAATTTCTGGCAGCGACGTGAAAAAAAAACGTTTCTTGTCGAGTGGCGTGGTGGTGGTCTTGAGCGTTTATCCGACATTATTATGCGTTTAAAAGCGCAGTATTGTACAATTTATTATACATATATAATATAAACGTAATATACAACTCGCTACCGAGGTCGAAAGTACCAATTTTAAATTTATGATTATCCCCGTAACCGCGGGACAACGTGCAGTCCCGCAGCTCCCCACACTTTTCGAATGAACCGGTCCGCTGCGACGTTTTCTTTCCTCGTACGGGCTCCGATTCTGGTGAATTCCCGTTGTGTGTAAGCTGTTGGTTGTCTAAAAAGGAACGCAGAGACTTTCAGAAGGGAAGGGAACCGAAAACGATCCAGTCATCGCCGCAAGGAGCGCACGCGAGCAAGAGAAGGGTCGACGACGTTAAGCCTCCCACACCGCTGCCGCTGCTCTCGTGTGTGCGTGTGTGTGGTTCTTTTGATCCTTCCCGTCGTTTCTTGGTCGTCACCGCAGTCTCTGGTAGTTTCTTTTTTTTTTATGTTCGCTTGATACTACGTCATTTACGTGGATTCGCGGAACAAGTCCTGCTACGGTTTGAGTGACATGTGTGGCAACTAGCCAACGATGACACTGTTCGGTTATCGATAAACCTCTCTCTCTCTCGACAGAGAGAGAGAGAGAGAGGTCTATCGTGTTCAAATGTTTTCGTGCCAGATATTGTGGGACGTATGGATACGATCGGCAGGTGAGAAACAACTTACTGTAAAACCCTTAATGTTCACGAGCCCTCAATTTTCGCGAATTTCACGAATTGAAGAATTCGCGAAATTTAAGGGCGCGCGAAAATTTCGGTCCTTAAGATTTTCAATGCAGGCGTCTGGAATTCGCGAAATTTAGTAGTCGCGATTATGTCATCTGTGACCGATTCGCGAAAAATAGGGGCCGCGAAAATAAAGGGTTTTACAGTATTTACGGGCTTTCTTGGTCATGTGGGACGCGAGTAAAGTGCTGTAGTAGGGTTAGTTTTTTTGTTTTTTTTTTCGTGATAGAATGGCATCTTGCCCGTCGTTATCTGTGTGCGGTTACGTCGACATTTGTAAATATGCGAGGTAATATTCTAGTTTTCACTGGAAGGTGAATAACAAGTTCGTGTGATTATACAAAGTGCGTTGTTTGTGCTTATGTGTTTCTTTATACTAATGTTATTTTATTGCCTTTACCACTTTTATACTAGAATCTTAACTGTATTAAGGTAATTGTATTATTGTATACAAAATAAGTTATATTTTGTTCTAAGGCAGCTCGAGCCCATAGGGAGAAGTAAATTAGTTGACTGCAAATAGTGAGTTTAGTACACTTGCCACACGGAAAAGTTAGTATATTTTCATTAAATGATATGGGACCTAATTAGCTCGCGGTCTTGAGTGATTATACGAGCGCCGCAAGCTGATTTGTCGACCCCATAATGTCATTCGATCGATATTACATTACTTTTGCCATGTGGCCGGGGTATGATGCAAGAATTCAGTGACTGCACGCGATAACATCGCTTACATGATCGTAAGTGTCCAAGTTGACTACGTTTACCTAATTTTTAACCGATCTGTTTTGCTGTGTCCAATCACAGCGTGTCTCGCCATTTTGTCGAAGTATTTCTGTGTAAAATATGCATTCCTACAGCAATAATTGCGTAACCCAATGTTTTCTCTTATACGCTCACCTCGTACCATTTCGTACTTATCATTTAGCGGTGCAATGTTTTGCCCGTGTAACAAAATGCTTTCTAGACCCGTTTTGCAATGTGCAGCTTTCATTTTAGCTAATAAGACACGCGTGTGTGACTAAAAACGCGTTACGACGGTCGATCCACGCGCGTTGCCTTCGCTTCGACGCGCTCCCCCGGTGGCCTTCCTTCGCGACGTCACGAGAAGAGCGCTACGGCCTTGTCTTCTAGGGGGTGTTGAGTCGAGCGCACGGCTTTTTGCCCTCGCCCACGCAGCTGCGAGGGCAGGGGTGTGGGCGTGCAGCCGCGGCCCGTAGCGCGACCGTTCAGGACTAGGGAAATGATCTTGAAGAACCGAGAAATGGTATATTGTGATCTATAATAATCACATTTCGTTAGCATATTCTACTTGCTAAGCCAAATAAATATTTGCAGCTTGTGAGAATATGTTTGCGACCGAGTAAGACTGAGAGAGACCAGACCGGTTTTTAAGCCTTATGCGACTTCTTAGGACCGGATGCGATGCAGCGGAGCCTGGTCCTAAGACATCGCAAGAGGCTTAAAAACCGCTCTGGTTTTTCTCGGTCTTACTCGGTCGCAAGAGTGTGAACGAGCCTTTACCGTTCGCACTCCTGACGGTTGCTAGCGAATCCTTTTTGTTCGTGGCTCGCAGTTATCAATACCCCTCAAAGCGACTATACAAAAAAAAAAAAAAAAAAAAAAAAGATGCTGGGCGGCAAATTTGTGGAGATGTCTTAACTCTACAACCGCACGTGTGCATGAAGGCACTCCAATTGAACCTATGTTCTACGATCTCTACGGAAACAAGTGTTTTATAGCGGAGATATTTTTTTCCCCTTATATTCGTTCTTATTTTTGCTTGACGCCATGTCCGTTTCAGCTCGCCTCGCGAGAGTGTACGCAAGCTCCGTCTCTCACGCCCGGCAGTGGATAAAATTGCCAAATGCATATAGTTGCGGGAAGGCGCGGTTAATCTGGTTTAGCAAAGCTAAAGGGATCATGCTGTTTTCTTTTCTTCTTAATTTCGACATTAAAATGCTCTGCAGCTCAAGACAACCAGTACAAAACACATGAAAATAGCCCTTCCTGAACGTTAGACCGCTAGGACAGTAACAGCTCAGAGAATACACATACCAGCTTTTCGTTTCGGGTATATTTTGAACTAATCTTATTCACTATGCGAGCAAAAATCGACGCAAGTTCTGAAAGCAATTAGGATATTTCGACGTTATTGTTATTCGGTAATTTAAATATCTGTATATATATATAATATCATAACCAAATAGGAACTTCCGTTGTAAAACATGTAATGCGAAGTGAAGACAAATACTTTTTTTATTGATGTCCACAAAAAAGAGGCCATGTAGCATCGATCGTACCGTTTTCTATCGCACATTATGTGATGTCCTCTAACGCGAAAGTACCGACGTAAAAGCGCTTTAATGGCGACATGAAAAAAATCTCGGTTAGCAACTGGTCAGCGGAGGCATGCGGTTTAGAGAAGCTTGTTTTAGCGAACGCCGTTTTACCGCAGAGGGCATTTCTTAACACGCGCACCAGTGATACACGCGAGAAGTAGGAAAGCCTTTTTTAACAAAGCGTCCCCTTTTCGATAAATGGCGTTTCTCTAAACTGAGGCTGTGCTTTCTTTAAACCGTGCTTCGATAAAACGTGCCCATTCTCTAAAACGTGCTTCGATGAAACGGCATTCGATCAACTGTGGTAAACCCACTGGTCAGCACTCCTCGACCAAAGTAATGCTAAATGTGTCATACATACCAAACCTTTCTGAATAAACGGACATACCTGCCAAGTCTCCCGTATTACCCGGGAGACTCCCGAATTTTGACCAATTTGTACGGTTGTACGATTGACAGAAAAATCTCCCGGAGAACTCAAATTACTTAAAGGGGCACTGACACCCCAAAGGTCGTATTTATTTTTATTGTCTAAAACGATGCAAGTTGCAGTCATAGACACGCAAAAAAAAACGCATCGCGAAAAAAAATCTTTCCGCGCGCGCGCGCGCCTTTTTATTTTGGCGTTTGATTCTCGCGCCTCTCGCCTTCTCGCTTCTTTTGATTCGTGACGTCAAGAATCATGAAATTTAGAAGCTTTGTAGGCAACATCTTTATAACATTTAATGACGGCAATCCTAAAACATGTGTTTTAACGCAATTGCGAACGCACTACGGCCCTTCTTTTTGAAATACCAAAAATCGGGAGTTCGTTGTGGAGCCGTCTCCTAGTGGATTTGTATCCTCCAACGGACAACAGGCGAAACCGCTCAAAACCGGTCCGCCGCAACGCCGGCGCTCGCTCCTTTCCTCCTCGCTTTGGGTCGCCATGGCAACAGCAGGGAGTGGTGAAAGAAAGTGGACTCTCAGGACTCCGCAATATTTGACGTCAAGGCACCGGCGCCGATCGCGCGGGAACTTCGAATTCGGCATTTGGAAATTGTTTTTTTACTTCATAAATACTGAATTCCCAAATTTCAAACTTTGAGGGTAATGTCCTGGCATCGTTATCAATCGTTTCGGGTAATAAAAAAACAATGATTTTGATGTGTCAGTGCCCCTTTAAACAAGGAGTCTCTGCCGTTGCAACAAACGGCTGCAATGATAACGAGGCACAGCTGTATCTCGCTCGCATGAGCAGGGCAATATAAATGTAATAACGTTGCCTTCATGGAAATTTTTTATCAATATATATTTTTAAAAACCCGCCCCCCCCCCCCCCCCCCCCCCCGGCTTAGAAATTCTCGCAGATTTGGTTTCTCCGCACTTGGCAGGTATGAACTGAGAAAACCCTTCACCTGGAGACCTCAAGGGCAAATCACCCTTGAGGTCCTTCCATAGGAATAGACTACGGGGGGGGGGGGGGGGAGGGAGGGCATCGGGGCTTGTGCCTCCCCTCCCCCCCCCCCCCCGGGCCGTGATCCTTACCGAGAATTTTTCAGATCTGTGCTCGCCAGCGCATGCGCCGTGGTATCGGCGATGAACACACGGCTACGACGCTTGCACGGTGATTGACATTGACACACAGCGACGGACACATGGCGATGTGCGTACGCTCTAAGATGTACACCCTAAAATAAGCTACTGATAATTGACGGTGTAAAAACAATCGCGCAGAAAAGCACCCCCCGCCCCCCCAAAGATCCCCCCCCCCCCCTCCCCCGCCTCCCCGGGAAAATGGAAAGTCTACGCTGCTGGGTCCTTCAGTAATAACTAATAACTTTACACTTAACGAACTTTCTTTTGCACTTCTTATTTTGCTTACCAGACGGAGAGTCGCAATCCTTTCAAATCTTCGTAACTAGTATAGTTGTTTTTCTTTTCTTTTTTTTTTTTTTGGAACGGGAAGGGGACGTTGAACTTCCCCGACTTATCTGTTTCCAACAACACTAAACAATAGCTATCCAGTTTGTCTCTCACCTTCCGAACGGCTCTAAAATCTCTACTATCTGAAGTTAGCAATAAAGATATCGCCCGGAGGAAAGCTGCAAACAAGAACTTTAAAACGCTCTACGTGATGCGATATGTGAGGGTGCATTATTTTTGACATGTATGTCGACCCGGACTTCGGACGATTGCGAGCGACGCATACATTTCCCCATATCAGTAAGCTGTAGTTAAGCGTACCATATGTACCATTCGCGTGCCTCAAATATCTTTTTCGGCTGGGGGAAATTTACGACACAGTAGACGAAACGCTGTAACGGAGTATAGAGACGGGTTCTTTCAAGGCGCTTCTTAATAACCTGATCAGAGTACGGTACCTAGAACGTGCCTCTGACTGCTGTGTTTACTACGTCCTTAAAGGTGGTCCTTTCCACCTGATAACGTCCTAAAAATGACATGTTGTCGCCGGTCGCAATCCAGGCGGGGTGTCCCAGCAGCGATGGTGGATGTGACCGACGCCTGTTCTGCTGCAGATCGCTCTTCAGCTGGACAGTCCTCGGAAGGCTCGGAAGCTTCGGCGGCCAGGAGTTGGGACGCCGCGACGACAGCGACACTCGCGTTCGCTCGCAATTTTCACCGGCACTTCAGCACTAACCGCCAGGATTGCGACATGCGACAGCATAACAACACGCCGGCGTCTGAGACGTTATCTGCTGTCACTGCGAGGGGCGGGATGAAACCGCACCATAATCGAAGACGCCTTTCTAGGCACCGTGTTTCAAAGTAGTAGAAAGTCTTCGAAGTTTAGAGTAACTCGAGTCCGGCAAGGCCCAACGTATATTCTGAGGAGCGCGCTGTGCCCACTTGTTGCAGGGGCGCCCCTACGACGAGGTGGCCTCGCTGCGCAAGAGGCACCTGAACCCGAGCCTGAGCTCGAACCTGATGTTCGGGCGCCCCCTGCTGGTGAGCCAGGGCCACATGCAGTGGCTCTGGGACCACACGGGCAAGCGCTACCTGGACATGTTCGCCGGCATCGTCACGGTCAGCGTGGGACACTGCCACCCGTGCGTTGAACTCCTCGGTTATCCCCAATACTCTAGAAAACATTCGCCAACAACAAAAAAAGTTTAAAAATTGGTTTTAGTCGGACGACGGCAGACATACTTCGCGGAAGAATTACAGGCGAAAATCTCAGCAATGTATGTCTTTATAGGCCCGACATATTCTTTTGGAGTGTGACAAACTTTGCAATATTTCTGCCCACCATAATGAAGAAACGTGATATTCCCGATGATTATAACAAACTTTCAGTACGTGTTCTGAATAAAATGTTATTACTTAAATAATATATTATCCCCCATTATCCCCCAGGAAAAACTGAAGCTCCACAATCTCGCCCATGACTCGCAACAACTCTCAACGCGGTTAATATGATTCCCAAATGGTTTACGGTCTGCTTACAAATTGCGCACAAACTCGCCCATGGGAACAGTTCCTGATCCAAAATGTGATTGACTTCAAAACCCATAATCATATATGCGTATGCTGAAAAATGGCCTGCTTCAAAATAAATAATCCGAATGGCAACTTCAGATTCATCACTGTTTTTGTGTCTATTGAAATCGATGTAAAACGCCAATGTGCGTAATTTGGAGAAAAAGTTGAATTGTTCACTATTCGTGGCTTTGAGTTTTTTTAAAGGTAAATGACTACACTGACGCAGCAAGGTGTTGGCGGCTGCTGAGCATCAGCTGGGAAGGCTGTGGCACACGTCAAACATCTACATGTATCCATCGGTCCACGAGTTTGCTGAAAAGCTGACGGCCAAGTTGCCCGGAAATCTCAAGGCGAGTAGTAAAGCGAGTAAATTTCGGCGGTTGCATGCCAAGTAAATGAAGATTATCTTACACTCCCCTGCCTAAGTGTACTGAGGGTTAGTTTATACCAGATGGGGTTATTTTGAACACTGAGCACGACTCCCTCCTACCTCCCCCTCCTCCTGGTTTGGGGGAGTATGCTCCTTCAGATAGCTAAGGAACTGTTATGTCATACTCAGAAAGTGAGGCGCTCGTCTCGTTGCAGTAGGGCTAATACACGCTGAGCATGCATCGTCCAGTAGTTACTACGATTGCACCCTGGTACAATGCCCCTCGGTGTAAGCAAACGGGATCCTGTAGTTTCTGCGGCGTGACCTTTGGCTTCCAAGCTACATGTGGTGCGCTAACACCTATCACTCACCCGCCCCTCTGAGAATCTTGCAACAACACTGACCAGATGATTGGAGGCGAGACGATAACCAAGCACATCCTGATGCAGGTGTGCTACTTCACCAACAGTGGGTCTGAAGCAAACGACTTAGCCATGATGCTGGCGCGGCTGCACACGGGCGCCTTCGATATCATCGCCCTCCGGTGAGTGAGAGGGTTTACTACCTTATTCAGCCTTCACGGTTGCGGTGCGCTTCTCTGGAGGGACGCGCTTGCAAAAGACCACCGTCAAAGATGTGTGCGACAACGAAAAATTTCTAGCTGCCTTTAATCTAGTCGCATTTGAAGAGAAACGCGGCCGACGCTCACGGTCAATCTCGGCCTTCATGGCATGCGCATCTTCTCGAAATGTCGCCCTGTCGTCCTCTCTTAACTCTTTCTTTTTTTCAACGACACGGTGAATGCACAGACAGAGGCAGTCGAGGTACGTGGGGGTAATTCATCACGTGGTTACATGCGCATTAGGATGGATGGATGGATGGATGGGTGGTAATGGCTATACCCTTTGTAACGGGTGGCAGCTTGCGGCACCTAGCCTAACATTTCGTCATCCCTTCTTTTTTTTAAATTTGTATAAATTTGTTCTAACACAACCCTCCCCCCCCCCCCTTTTTTTTTAAAGCGTTGGCATTGCTTTTTTTCTGTATTTTTACCCCTCCCTAGATCTTTTCCACCAATCTTTCAATCTCCTTTTAGTTACCGCAACTCTTTCCCTATCCATTCGTCCATCCATGTCTGCAAATCCCAGCGCCCCCTCCAAATCCGTACTCATCCCCCCCAATAGGGTGGGATGAAGCCCCATGCATCTTAAAATTACATGTTCTATAGTTTCCCTTTCGAGGTTGCATATGTCGCATATAGTGTCTATTTCTTGGTATTTAGTCCTATATGTTTTCGTTCTTAGCACCCCCGTTCTAGCTTCAAACAGCAATGAGCTCCCCAATGAATTATCACACAACTGTTCCTTCTTTATTTCTTGTTTTTGTGTCCTGTATATTTTTAAAGCTGATTTCCCCTACATTCTCTTTTCTTACAAATTCCTCTCCGTTTTCTTTACTCCCTTTTCTACTGATGTGCTCTGATCGGCTCCATCTCGTTGAATGTAAATCTCAGCTTGCGGGTTCGGTTTGTCCACTTAGTGTTTAGACTTTTCATATATAGATACTTGTACACTTTTGCTGCCCACCGTGTGTCCTCAATTTTAGCTAGTCTTTGTTCAAATTTTAGTTTACTGATCGCTTGTCTATAGTCTCAAAAGATGCCCAACCGATATCCCCCTGTACTCTCTCATTTGGTGTATTCCCATGTCCCAGGTCAACATGCGTAGGTGGTTGCCAGATGCTCAAGGGAGCGCATGTATTACAGCGAGAGTCGCTCAGGAGTAACAATTCGCGTGGTTTTATTGAGGGGAACCGAGAATATTAACACTTGCGGATGAAGCTGCTGAAGTTCCTCGTATAACTGGGTTGCATCACGTTTCCCCGGTGTCATTGCCAAGACTGAAGTCGTTGCGAATTTTGCAAAGTGAGCTTCGGTTCTTCCAACAGTCAAGCCGTCAGTCACACGATTCCATTTTTAAGGTGATTATTTAGAAAGACTTCAGTCACGATCCTTTGAAAAGCCTCCGCATCGGCACCACGCCGTCATCGACTCCTTTGGCAATTAAACTTAACAGCTCGCCAGAAGCGATGGTTTATATGTAGAGATGGCTGCTCAGTGTTTGCAGGCGGACCTGCTGCATTGTTTTCGCCCGCTTGGTTTATGGTGGAGATTCGAGACTGAGGAGACTAGTCACTAGCCTTCTCAGTTCATTACTTATAGCTCTTGGCCTCAGCTCAGGGACACCATAGGAACCTATAACCAGCTCGATCGATCGCCCCGTGCGTCCGCATTTTGGGGGCAATTCAATTCGTGCCATAGTGTCACTCATTCCGTGTTTCCAGCGGCGTGCACCGTATACCGTTCACGTCTTGTATTTTCAAAAGATGTAAATATTAATCACCAACACAATGTTTTTTTTTTTTTTGCTTTTTTATTGTTATTTAGCTTGTCGTGCACTCATCGCTGCCTGTTTGTCGGAGAGCGAGCTATTTCCGAAATAAATACCAGTGTGAGCATCTATACGCGGGGAAACTTGGTGAGAGAAAGAGTTGAAAGCGTGAAGATGTCAGAGCGCCAAGCTCTGATTCGAATAGAGGGTAGGCTAGCTGCCATCGTCTACCCACTGTTCGAAGGAGCTGGAACGCGAGCCACTGCGCGAGGAGCAGACGGTGCTCTTGTTCGCCCCGACTCAACACGGCAGAGACAAAGGCAGCTTATGGCGACGTGCGCGATCGGAAGCGTCATCGCTGTGGTCGGCCTTCCAAGATCGGCCGAATGCTGACTATGACGTCAGCGAATAATTTCTGATCGACGAAAATAAGAGGAATGTAAGAACTTCCAATTTTGATGGTGATTGGCAGTGTTGCTTTAAGAGCTTAATGATTGCAAACTTCCACCATGCTAATTACAAACACCATCGAACTTGTTGTTCGCAAGGTAATGACTTCACTAGAGGGAAACATACGAGGGCGCCACCAAAACATCCCGCCGATAATAGGAAGTGTTCAATGGCGGCCATATCTGTGTGCGCGACTGCTGGGCGCGTGCTGATGGCGAGCTTCCACAGTTATTTGGTAACCTGCATTCCGCACCATCAAGATTGCCAGTCTGAGCAACCTATTAATGTGAGCTTGTTCTGGGCACGTGCTCTAAACAGCGCCCACAAATATGGCATCCAGTGAATACTCCCTATACTCCGTTGAAACTAGAAGGTCCGCTTTCAGCGCGAGCTTTTTGCCCACAAAAGTGTGAAGGCACATGCATCCAAAGCACTGCGGAAGCCAGCGAGATCGTGCTGAAGGCGAAGCTTTTACCGGCTCCCTCTAAGGGCCCGACCTGTGCTCCTCTTCTTCCTCAGTCTCACTCCGTCACTGGCAGCACGAGAAGAGCGTCTCTTTCGAATGCAGGCGTTGGTTGCCTTCCACCCCGTTTTCGCTGCGCGCGCACGCTCGAGGCTCACGAGGCGCCGAAGCGCTATCGAGGGTCTCGCGCTGGAGGTGCTTCAACTAAAGCTCCTCCCTGCCTTACTTATTCTGTCATTGACGCGCTTATGTCCCCTGAAAATTGTGAAAAATAAATTTAAAAAAAAGAAACGTTTACAACTCTCTGTAATGCTTGCTTGTCTTGTTTCGCTTGTCTTGGGGATCGGCGAGACTCAGCCCAGCACGGCTGAAAGTGTTGACAAAACTCGGACGAAACTGGCGAATTTGTTTAATGTGCCACGAACGTTAAGACATTACATGGTAGAGCTTCACGCGTTGTGTGAAAGCGAGTGAACGAATGTGTTGACTCGACTTCACCCAACTACCTCCTCAAAAATGATCTGTTGACATTCCACAAGTCCCATTTACGTAATTTGCCTTCGCGCAAAAAATGTGCATTTATCCAAACGCAACACCTCCAAATACTAACACTTTTTTCTTTTAAAAATGAAACTTTGCAGAAGCCACGCTTTTAACACCGAAGTTTGGCAGTCAGAATAAATGGTCACTTCAATCGCTAAAACTGAGCATTCCCACCAACGATATAAGCAATCGCGCGATGCCACTAGATCGCATCGCAAAAAAAAAAAAAAAAAAAAAAAAATAGATGGTCACACCGGCGTGTGCGATAAGCGAGTCCAACGCCTTCGTTGGCGAGTCGTTTGTCGAAAACTCTCGCTCCGAACGCCGTTGATTTGCTCAGCCACTCCGCGACTAGATCGCATCGCAAAAAAGCGACTGCTCCAATCGCGTCGCTTTTTGCCCGCGATGGTCGCTTTTGCGATGAAAGTTATCGCGCGGCTAGATCGCATCGCCGGTGGGAACGCGCCTCCGTCTCTGTGTGACAAACCTTTCTGGGTAGTCCAATGTCGAACTAAAATCCGCAACGACACACTTGATGCACGGCACGTTCCACTTAAAGAGCACATTCAGGGGCAGTATCCAGACGCCTTCATGCCATCGTCGTCGCTGTTTCCAGAACAATCCAGATGAACAACGGAGAACGAACCCCGCCCGGAACGTCACACCTGGCAGCACCCTACTAATACAAAACAAACGCAAACTAAAAAAAAAAAAAAAAAAGAAAAAAAGCCACCCGAGAAAGTTGAAAATGCTTTAGAGAGAGAGAGAGAGAAAAGAAAGAAAGAAAAAAAGTGTTTGCTTGAGGTCACTCGACCGGCGTGTTGAAAGTGGCGACCGTCTCCCGTCCTTGGAGCTCTTCGGTGTCCTTGTGTCGTGTGTAGTGGGAGCGGGAAAAGAGATTATCTTCTGCGCGCACTGCCCCCTCCCCCCAATCCCCTACCCCGCAATCTTTGCTCCTTGTACACGCGGGGGGTTGGGCGTTGGTCAGATGGGGTCCGTCGGGAAAACGGGAAGTGCCTTTGTTTGAAAAGAACCTGTTTTTAGTAAGTTGAAAGTCGAAAAACAGCCTTCGTCGGAGGCTGGTCGCCTTGTGTCGTCTCCGATCATGCCGGGATCGGGTTTGGATTCGCGGTGCTGAAGCACTGCACTTGATCTGTTCTGACGTCACAAGCCAAGGGAACTCGATTAAGGTATGTCGAAGTGCTTCTGTTTATGGTGTATTTATTAACTGTGGCTTCAGAAAGTGTTTTCTTTTGAGCGCGTTCTCTAGCTTGCAAAGCGCGCGCCATGCTCTATTCTTTTTGGCACCACGGTTGCTGATTTTGTTATGCAGCACAGAGACCTCATATTCTATCGTATCGAGCGAAACGCCAGTTCTACCGATGGCTTATTTTTTTGTGTGTGTGTGTGTTTCGCAGACCCTGGCAGGATCGCTTGACCATAAACGCCTGTCCACATGCAGCGGAGCGCTACAGGCATAACGCTGACCTTGCGCTAAGCGCGTGCTGACGGGATCGGTCAAAAGCTTTGTATTGCACCGACAAAACTCATGCTCACGGCAGACGAAAAGTAGCTCATGACACGTGAGCAGCGTTACATCAGCGCTTCGCTGCGTGTGAGAACCGGCATTAATGGAGACATTTATTCGATTGTACACTAGACTTTCGCGTTGATGGCGGGAGATCGTGCCGTCACTTTGAAGCATAGTTTGAGCACGCACGCGCTGGGTCTGTAATTCGCAGCGAATGGTCTACTAAAATCTAATATTGCGCTGATATGCTGTCAACAGACCGCATGTTGGATGTGAACCATTGTATCACTTATGCAGCCTATTTGTTAATTTATTATGCGTGTGTTATAACTTATATCTCATATTTGTCACGCGATTGGGTATTTATGCTGCCCTGTTACTAATAATCCAAATTCCTCGCAAACAGGAAAGAAGCTGCCGGAGCCCCAATAAGCGGTGCTGGGACCACGACCAACTTGGGCAGACGTCCCAGTGTCCAAGCCATCGTCGACGCAAGTGCGCTCTTCGGAATTTGGCCTTATCGTGGATTCTACCGCCCTGGAACTTCGACTTCATTCATCCTTGAATGCGATGTGTATCTACGAGGCAATAAAACTACTTTTAACCTGAACTCCACGATTTCGTTTTGGAGATTTGTGGCACGGGACCAAATGAAAAGGATAAACCTTTAGTCCCAGAAGCCTAAATCGAAGGGCGCAACGTTTAGACCCAGGGGTCCAAGTGCAAGCGCCTAACAGTGAGTCCTCGGGGTTCATTTGAACCGGTGTAACAGTTAGTCCCAGGGGTCCAAGCGCAAGAGTCTAACAGTTGGTCTTTGAGGTTCAATTGAAACGGTGTAACAGTTGGTCCCAAAGGACCAAGCGCAAGGGCCCAACAGTTGGTCCTCGAGGTGTAACTGAAAGGGTGCAACAGTTAGTCCCAACGGTGCTAGTGAGAGGGACTAACTGACGGGGCGCAACAGTTGCTCCCGTTACAGTTGCTCCCCTAGGGGACTAATGGTTGTGGCAGCGCATTTGGTCCCCCGAGGGACTAAGTCGCGCTCCCTTTTTTCTTAGAGTGTAAGTTACAGGGATAAAAGGAAAGGGACATCTAGGACAAAGACAGGACAAGACATCTTTCCGATATGTTTCGTCCAGTCTTCGTCCTTTCCTCTTTTGCACATTTCATCCTCCAGGAGTTATTCGCCGCACACTTGGATAGGCAGTAACCCTCGACTTCTTCGAGCGTTTTCCGCTGTGCCGCCACCTCTGAAGCTACAAATTGTTTCGAGCTAGGATGCTGAGGTGTGTTCCTCTTGCTTCGCAGGAATGCGTACCACGGCATGAGTCCCTACAGCGGCGGCATGTGCGGCGTCGGTGCCTACAGGCATCACTGGCCCACCGGCTTTGGCGTGCATCACGTGAGTCTGCAGAGAGGCAGAAGGAGTGAAGCATCCGAAATACGCCACTCGCGCCCTGGAGTACACCGTGTCGAGACCTGTACTACCTTTCACCTTACGCCCGGCCAGAGCGGACGCTACGAGCCATTCCAGCCAATCCAGCTCCGCGAACGTAAACACGTGACCACGCTATTCGCGTGCGTCAAGGCGCTTCCTCTCTAGCTTCACGGTAAACTCACGCGGCCTTGGATTGGCTCCGATGAGGCTCGTAGCCAATTTGATGCTACCGGACGTGAGGTGAAACCAACGTTACTTAAATACTCAGTTGGGAAACTCACCCTTGGAAACCCGGACCGCTCGTGTCCACCAAGACCAAACTGAATACTATAACGATAACAGCGCCACTATTTAGTGACTAGCCAAAACATAAATGCTTATTTATATTGCTACGGTGAAATGCCAATGCCAGATGGCGCCACCGGCCCTTGCGCGACTCAACCTGAATTGATACATGCAGACGTGCAGTTCCTGGAGTGGCCGCTACGGGAAAAAATGGCGGCGTTGAGATCGCCTTTAGTTCGGTTCTCGAGTACGGGTCGAAGGAATTTTTTCAAAACAGGCTCCATGGCTGTTTCCCAACTGAGTTGCTCCAGTAACGTTGGGCGAAACGGAGTATGGAGCGCCCGAATAATCTACATGTTGACTAGCCCCGTATCGGTGTCCAAGATCCGCGAGAGGGGAAAAAACGCGCTCAGTGGCGCAAGCTCCAAATCGACGAGGGGAAGATGTTGTACCCACATTTTTGGAGCGACTCGCCGGGGAGGATCTGCCGTTCAAAATGGCCGCTGCTCGAACTTGCCGAGCTCGAACATGACGAGCTGGCTGAGCTTTCCAACGACCAATGATTTCCTCCACTGTCCTACAGCACAAGCAACACCCGGCACAGGTCGGCCGCATAATCCGTATACCACGGAGTCCGTGTAACAAATACGGAGGAATAGGCCCGCGTTCGCTTACTATATAGCCATACATTCCGGCGACCCCGAAACCGCGGGGCAGGCACAGCCATCGCCATCAGCAGAGATCAGATTGCTGGTCTTAACGCTAAGTGGTATCGAACTATTTATTACTTGCACGGTTACGAAGGAAAAAAATACCGGCGGCGTGCAGTGTACGAAGGAAAACAATCAATTGCGCCAAGACGAACGCGCCTAACCTTGTCCTGTCGTTCTTTTTCTCGATCTTCATCTCCGGGTGACAGAAGTGAGCGCTTCAGATTTTCCAGGCTCCAGGCCTTGCTCCATGCCAAGCAACAGCGTACGAGGCACACGCACTGCCCGTCAACACCCCGCATAAACAACCGACCGCGGGTCCGTGTTAGTCCGGCGACCACTCCCCACATGCGCATGCGCCGAGCAAAAGGAGCTGACTCACTATGCGGAGCGCCAGTTCGTCTGCTTTTTCTTTTAGGGGTAGAGGTGATGTCAGAATGCCGAGGTCTGCTTGGTTTTGATTGAAGGATAGGAAGTAGACCTCAAAGCAAGCTGCCTTGAGGTCTACCCACTTTCCTTCGATCGGAGCTTGGCATTCTGACGTCACCACAGCCTCCTGCAAAAGTAGCGGACGAACTTTACTCCGCACTGGGGAGTTTTCGTAGATCGTTTCCGCTGTCCCGCAACGTTCTCCGCAACCCGGTAGGAGATCAGGGACTCTGCAGACAAGGCTGACGCCGCGCAATTGGGCGCAACCCAAATTGACCCCGTGAGCGGTGACCTCGTAACATGGCACTGTGCTCCAAACAAACCGTAGATAGCGGCGGCGTTACGAACAAAGGGATGCGGGCTGGACGCGAGGTAAGAATTTATCTGATAAAAATCGGAATTTTTTTTTCGCGAGTTTTGTGCCTTTTCAATAGTGAATCACAAATACGTGTTTTGTCGTCTTAGTGCCATGTAGCGATGATAAAATCCCGTAATAAAGTTTTTTCAACCGGTTTTGCTTTCCATCAGACGACATGGTGGCGTTGCGGGTCCAGTGTTCATTTCTTATAAAGCTGGCGACTGCGTGCTCCATCAGAAAAACGAGTGTCGAAACTCCTGTTCTCGGGGACAACTTTCTGTTGGAAAGCGAAAAGAGCCCGCGCATAGCTTTGATCAGCGCTCGTGTGTTCGCGCACGTTACACCTAGTTGGTGTAACGTGCTTTCATTTGGTGAAAACAGCGCACACAAATGACGATCACGAAAGAAAAGAACACACACACAACACTTGAAAATTCCACGTGTATTAAAGGCGAACAATATCGCCTGACAAGTTACTATACCCGTGGCCAACGTCGGGGACAAAATCCAGCAGCACACAATGCACGCAAGACTGACAAAGCAAAAAAGCAAAGAGCAAAACAAATCACACGTACGTCGTTAGCAACAGCAGTAAACCATAAGGCAGAAGGGGAAAAAATGATTACAGATGTACAGCTCTCCTAAAGCATAAAACGGCACCACTGGATTACCCAAATATTGATTTTTTGCCAGCTACTCAAAGCTAAATTGGTAACTGCAGCTGCTGGACTTCCTTCCCCGGTCTCGCTTATGATCGGGAAGTTTGACCGGTAGGCCCAGGAAGAGTACAAAAAGTGCCATATCCCGGCTGCGTTAGGTTTGGGAAGCACGTCGAAAAGCGCTCCGCCGGTCTCTGTCGCTTGCGATGGTTCGTAGGCGCGTGTGAGATGACCTTTGTCCACTGCTGAATCCTGCGCAGGCGATGAACGCCGACCCGTACCGCGGCCCCTGGGGCGGCCAGGCGTGCCGCGACTGCCTGGTGCCGAGCCCGAGGCAATGCTCGTGCCCCGAAGGGGGCCCGTGTAGCGCGGCTTCCCTGTACGCCGACCAGGTGCACGACGTGCTCCGACACAACGTCTCCAAGAAGAGGGTGGCCGCCTTCTTCGCCGAGAGCATCCAGGTAGCCGCTCCGGCAGTGCATGGGAACAGATTTCGTGCAGCTACCAACCGGATTCCCGCTTGATCGGGCCATCGAGGACTATCTAGGGGCCCTATGGTCAGTGACAGGGCAGTCATGACCACACCAGGAACGCATGTAAAATATGTGCTATAGCTTCCGTTAGAAGGCAATAGAGCATTTTCAAAAGTGTCCTTCAAGCAACATGGTTGCTTGGTGGATGCTCGGAGGGCACGCCCAACATATGGCGGCCAGCAACTCATAGCTTCCCTCTCCCGTCTTTATTGGAAGCTTTCGACCAGAGCCTCTGCGTCCAGGCACGTAGCCAGGATTTTGAGGAAGGGGGGTGGGGGGCGCCCATGACAAAATCGTGTATGAGGGGAGGGGGGAAAGGAGGCCCCAGCAAAAAGAAAGATTTCGGGGGGGGGGGGGGGGGGGACGTCCTATGCCCCCCCCCCCCCCTCCCCTTCGCTACGTGTTTGGTAGACTCCAAGGATGGCCAAATCGCGGCTCAGCTAGCCTGATGTCTGGGAGTGAGAAAACATCTAATTTCTTTCGGTGTCGTCTTGGTGGTATTTATTGCGACCATTTTGGCCTCCGGCGGGTCGACTACTCAAATCGCTGGCTCGTATTAAAAAGGTGCTCCGTCGATATTTTGATGTACCCAACTAATTCTGAATAGTTATTGTAAAATTGGCAAGTGAAAATGATGCCTAAAACAACCATCAAATATACCCGCGCTTTTCAGTGGCGTGACGCCGGGGGAAGGCAGGCTTGCAGGTCCAGCGAGCGGTCTGAAAATCGACTATGCCGAGCGTTTGTTTCGTGCAGATGCGTTGGCGCTGGAGCGAGCTTCCAACGCATTCATTTGACACCATGAAACTGCTTGTAATCAGTTCGGAACTAAGTGTACACTCCAAAGAGAACCCCTGCCTTCCCCTGACGTCACTTTCTCATTGTTACCAGTAGAGACTTTCACTTTGAAAAACAAGGTGAGAACCAACATCCTACTTGGGTCAGAGAACTGGCCTGCAGTACTGTGAAATAAAATAAATAAATAAACTCTATATTCAATAACCTTTCAAAAATATATTTTTGCCCACAGTTTGGGTTACTTTTTTTAGAGATGTTTGTTAGTGTGTAGGCGTTAGGCTGGAGCCTAAGCATCTAAACACAAAATGCGTTATTCGCTCATTTTTGTGAGAAAAAAAAACTGTAACGCTCGACTTTCACGTGGGACGTAAGTTGAAGTTATATAAAGCATTAGGCCCATAGGGGCCATTATTACAATACGAATGTAAGAACACTCTCGACGGGGATCTAATTTGCGACCAAGTGATTCCCGGCCAGATACCATACCAGCAGGGCTACGAAGAGAAGGCGCGTGGGGACTGGTAACGGTAGGTTAATAAAGTCAAAAACTTACACTACATTTAGCACGCTGACAGACGCGGGGGGGGGGGGGGGGGGGGGGGGACACGGACTGTGTCGGGCTACCATACCCATGAAGTGCGTGGTTGCGCTACCCCCGCACACTGCAGCCCTGCCTTCATCACACACAAACAGCATGCGCAACCCACACTTCAGGCGTATGAAAGCTCAACACTTTCTGTGTCCTCCGGTCTTTGTCGGCATGACTATGCTATTGTAATGATTTAATAGAGCTAGTACCCGTACGCCGGAATTGATAGGTGTTTCATGTTTCTTCGTAAATGAGGTGTATTCATTCTGACTACTATAGTTAGCAGAAGTCCGAGAATCCTTTCATGAAGGTTCACTCTGAGCTCCCCAATTCTACGAGTGTTTCCAAGTGGTCGTTGGCCCCAGCCTATGTTCCTTGTTGGTGCCGTTAAAGTACCCGCTTCCCACCCAGGGCGTGGGCGGCACGACGCAGTTCCCCAAGGGCTACCTGCAGAAGGTGTACGAGCTCATCCGGGAGCATGGAGGCCTCTGCATCGCTGACGAGGTGGGCCGCTTCATTGCCTTCTCTGCCGCTCGCTAGTGACAGCCTTGCGAGCTCAGCGCCAGAGCCGGGCACCAAATCTACCAGAGAGAGCGAGGCCGGTGAACCTTAAGCCCAAGATGAATTCTATTCAGTATTCAAGTACTGTCAAAACTTGAGCCCAAACTGGCGGAGCGTAACAGCAAATGCGGCGCATCACCGCGAGTGGGCTCATTTTCGTCTTCTGCGCTTGAGAAAGGAAGTAGCGATGACGTCAGAACGCCGAGCCCTGATTGGCTGATCGCGACCCCCTATCTCAGGGTGTCTGCTCCTTTGCAACGTCGTCTGCGTCTCTCTTACCCGTCTTACCTTTCCTGCGAGTTTCGGAAGTCTTTACGAGCGAGCTCGACTTCGCCTTTCAGAGACGGCAGACGAAATAACTCGAGCGGTTCCTTGTTTTTGTCTAACAACTAGCAGACGCGCATCAAGGAGGGAAGTCAAAGGACTCACTGGCGAGGTGTCCCGAGGCACCGAGGTTTGTTTGCTAAGAACCGAGAGTGAGCGTGTTAGTAGTGTCCGCAAGTTCCCTCCCAAATACTTTCCCCCTTCTTCCCTGTGCGGCGAGACCCCTCATTCTTTAACAGCGTCCGCAGGTTAGCGCAGTTAACGTCGTCTGCTTTACGTCTGCTAGTCAAAGCGATGGCTGCTTTACCTTTCCTGCGTCTGTCGGAGATTCACCGCTTTTTCACCGGCGAGAGTCACCAATGCCTCGGGAAACAAGGAGATAACAAGAGGAAGAAATTGACCTCTTAATCTAAAATTGAGGTCAGCGATCAAAGTATAATACGGGAAGGGTTCACAAGGGTCGCGCGGGCATATTCCATTTAGCACGCCACCCGGTCGTGGGCAGACGGTCGCCGAGTCGCGGAGTGCCTGCTAGGCCTAACTGCAAAGCTCGCTTGGTCGCGTTCGGTGGAATCGTGGACGTTGGAGCTTTTCCCGTGTGTTTGTGGATCCAGCGTTCTTGTTCGTCGTGGTCTGTTTCAAGTACTTTTTACTTTTTTCTCGCTGCTTGAAGACGGGACGCGTCAGAAGCGCACGTAGAAAAATAAACGTCCGTGGGTCGTCGCGACCGCGACGCTGTCGGCCATGCTGATTTGATCGTAAGAAGTGCGTAAGACAGCTTCGGAGCTGTCGTAGGATTTCGTCGTAACCTGCGCAAAAATTACGAAAATTTCGTTTCGTGAATACGACTTTGTTCTTAAGTTTTGTTTTACGCACATTTTTGGCGCAAGATCGTTTCGTGAATCTGGCCTCTGCACTTCCGAAAGTCGCAGGAAAGGTAAGACAGACGCAGACTACGTTGCGAGCAGACGACGTTGCAAAGGAGCAGACGACGCTCAGATAGAGGGTCGCGATTAGCCAATCGGGGCTCGGCATTCTGACGTCACCGCTACCCGCTGCGCAAGAAGCAGACGAACTTGCCCTCCGCATAAGCCAATAGTAGCGTGCTTGCAAACGACTTCGAGCCGCCGGCTGCCCATGAGCCAAAAATCTCGACGCGACAGGGGCATCAAATAGGAGCATCCGCGGCACAATTAAACGATAGTGGTCCTTGGGTAAAAGGCGATTCAATCTAAACCGCGAAACGAATAAAAAACTTAGAACCTTTTTTATTTTATTTTATTATTTTTGCTTTTGCAGGCCGAAATGGCTGCAAGGTGTGCGGTTGTGGATAGACGTGGCAGCAAGTGCATCGGCGACGGGCGGAGGGGGGGGGGGGGGGGGGGGGGGGGTCGAGCGGGAAAGGGAAAAGCGCACATTAGTCGCCACGGGCGGAAGAGAAAAGAAACGTCCCTTTTTAAAGGGATACTGAACCGAAATTTGGATTTCACAAAGTAAGCCTGCAGAAGTGTTGAACGGGACGCTACGAACTCCAAAACATCACACGTACATCGATATCTCAAACGGAAGGCCGTACTTTTGGAAAAGAAAGGCGCGATCAAGCGGGTTCTTTGACGTAACTGTCCTCCGGGAGAATTTGAGGATGAGGAGAGGCGGCCTCGCTTCTCTCCTCCTCGCTTCGGTTCCCCAGCTTGACGGGACGTTACGAGGAGGAGAGAGAATGGGAATCGTGGCGTGCCTTGTCTCGTTGGCCTCGTCGGCCTGGTTCAATCGCGCACTTCTTTTCCAAAAAATACGGCGATCCGTTAGATATATCGCCGTATGAGTGGCATTTTTTGGTTTTGCAGCTTCCTGCCTATCCGCCCGGCCTTGTTTAGTGAGCTCGGAATTTCGGTTCAGTATCCCTTTAAGTGACTTCGAGGGGGGAACGCAATAGAAGCAACTCCTTTTGTAGTATGACCGTTATTGTGCACACGTGGGGCATAGCAACACACCTAAAAGAGCCTAGTAATTCACACATTGTTTTTGTTTTTTTCAGACCACTGAGTGCAATAAACAACAAATATATTGTGTGCTAGAGATATTTGATTTTAAAATAATACAAAAATAAAAAAAAACATTTTCAAAGGGCTAACAAAAGTGTCATATTTTAATCGATATTAAAAATAGATATATCTATTCTAATCAAAATTTGACAGTTGCGTTCTGTATATTCTAAAGCATATGTATGCCAAATTTGGTTGTGATGTGACAATATTAAGAACAAACGTGTTGGTACAAACACGTTTGTTCAAACACAAATTACATAAAGAGATAAACACGTTCGAAAGTTACGATGGATGTTAGCGACGCTCTTACGCAGGGGGAAAATATTTTCTTGCGAATAATTTTCTGTGAAAAATTAAGCTACAGAATACTGCGGTGGAAGTAAGACACTTCCGAATATAATTGTGATTGCGGGCGACGTCACAATTTGAAGAATCGCGCAGTCCAAAATGGCTCAAACTTATGCCGTTCTCGGTTGCCGGAGTTCTTCAAATGAGTATTCCACCAATTTCGCTATCATAACCGGTCATTATTATTGTAGAGCGCAGCTCCTAAGCGCCCGTTTCCGGCTTGAGCGGCGTCGCCGTCGGCGTAATTGCGCGGTTTGCATGCGACTCAGGTTGCATGCAAACCGCGTTGCATGCAACCCGCCGGCGTCGGCGTAACTACACGTTCCATGCAACCCAGATTGCATTTAGCCCAAGTTGCATGCAACCCGCCGGAGTAAATGCAACACAGGTTGCATTTATCCCATGTTTCATGCAACCCACCGGAGTCGCCGGGTTGCATGCAACCCGTCGACGTTCCCGAGGTCACGTGACCCCCCCCCCCCCCCCCCCCGAGGTCACGTGACGCCCCGAGGTCACGTGACCGACCCCCGAGGTCACATGACCCCCCCCTCAGTACCCTTCCCTCCTCCTCCTCCTCAAGAGCTGCGCTCTAATTCGGCATTACAGAGAGTTTTGTAAACGGCTTTCATTTTTTTATACATAAAATATGAAGATTCAATGATATAAAACAATGTAAAAGCTAAAATCACAAATAAAAAAAAAACGATTGCCCTTTTCCGACCCGCATCTCCCCTTCTAAGCACTGCATGCACTCTGAAACTCATTTCACCAATTTATGTCCTATGCTTTATTTTTTTCGGCGTTCTTTTATACTACAGCATGAAATGTTTTTTGAACGGAGCCCTCAATTCCCAAATTTTGTTCGCCCGTGCATTTCCCGCTGTGGGGATTTGGACACGTAGAGAACTTGCGCGAAGATGCGGCGGCCGCGAAAGGAGCGACCGTGGGGCTAGAGCACGGGACACGAGCGCGTGGCAGGAGTATGCGACGCTTGAACCGCGTACATCCGAACATCCTTTTTTGGACAAGCGCTGGGTGGGAAAACCACAACACCTATTCACTTTCCCCGCTATAGGTTTGACGGGGATATTGATCTCACGTGACCTACGCACCAAATCAGTTTCCGCGCTAAACTTAGCGGGGAAATTTGCGTCACGTGTCCTCTACACAAAATTAGATTCCCCCGCTAAATTTATCGGGTAAATGAACGTAAAGCGACCCACGCACCAAGCAAGTTTCTCTGCTAGATATACCGGTGAAATTGATAAAAATATCAATTTTTCGGTCCCCGAAAACAAACTTAAACGATCGCTCCTTAAATAGTGTATTTTGGGCATTATGGGAACTTGAAGGTAAAGGTCTCTGCCAATTTTTTTTTTATGTCCGACGAAATCTAGTCCGGTATTGCGACCACTTACCAATCTGGCAACGCTGCTTCTGCATGGTACAGACAGAGCAGCAGGCGCGGGCGCACGCAGAATGACCGCTTCGCTTCCCTTCCATGCTGTCGGTTGTTCTGGCGCTGACCTTGCAGGCTTAGTCAGTTTTCGGAGGCTCTTGCATAACGCTCCTGAACTCTTGACTTGTCGCTGTCCCTAAATACAACTGCTCTCGACATCTAGAACAACACCAGGAAAAACGGAAACAAAACACCAAGACGTGAATCATTCCAAGTAATTAACGATACAAAGTATACTGAAGGTTTCGTAAATTAAAAGCCACAACCATATTATCTCGGTTTTTATAGTTTTCCTGTTCGAAAACGCGATTAGCAGCTCTCGCTACTCTTACTAAGTAATCGTGCGAGTAAGCGCATGGTGTCCGTGTAAATTGTGTGCAGGTTCAGACCGGCTTTGGGCGCATGGGTGACACTTACTGGGGCTTCGAGGGTCACGGCGTCGTCCCAGATATCGGTATGTATTTGCGCTCTTCTCGTTTATTCTCGGCTGCAATTATGAGCCTGGAACGTGAGATCCCTGTAATCATGGTACTCGTGCCAACATTTTAACTTCATCGGGATTCAGCTATGGGTAGCGCTGCCCAATCTTTGTGGTTTCCGTTTCCCGTCACGAGAGATTTTGGGTTGCGGGAAAAATGCAGTCCAAATCTGACCACATTTCGAGTTCCGATTGCTGGAAGCCGGAAATGTTTTGCAAGTGGTGTGGCGTCACCGGTGACATGTCACCGCTTCCGCTTGCCGCATTTGGAGTTGAATATATTTCGGGACCCTCAACGGGCGGGCGGGAGAGAAAGGGGAGGCCACTCTTCGCCTCTCGCGAACCCTTCAGAGAACAGAGGGAGGATTAAAGAGCATGATGATAATGCAATTAAAGGCAGGTGTGCAAGCGAGCTGGACAAGAATGACGTCATTCTTGTCCAGATCGCTTGCACCTTTGTCTTTAATAGCATTATAGTCACAACCTTGAAAAAATGCAAGCCGTTCAACCTTGTTGGCGTTCGACTGGTGGCAGCTGATAAAACCTGTTTGCTCTACTGACGTTTAACTCCCGGTTAACTCAGTTGGTAGAGCGCTTCACTGGAAATGGAGAGGTCCCTGGTTCGATACCAAAACCAGGCGGATTTTTGCAGTCGCGCACCAGTCACGTAGCCGTGTTTGTTCTTTGTCCCGCTTGTTTCCCTTCTCCAGTGATTATTTTCGTCGTTCAAGAGCAGTCGTTTTTCTCCTTTTCTTCCCCTCGGCTATTAGCAGATCTCTCTAAATTCCGACAATAGGGGCTTTTTCCTTCCCCCAGCCTGAGACCTTCACAGCGCTGCGCCAGCTGGCAAAGACCATTGCTGCGGCCAACGCAACGAACGACCCATCCGACCCGACCCCACTCGGCACCTCTGGCAGTCGCATCGTCCTTTTTTTCTTGCAACAGGAAGAGAAAGGGGAGGTTCACAGTAGCCCGCAAAACATCGTCCTAGCCATATTTTTGAGCTAAATTACAGCATAGGGTGATATGCGAAACTGATTTCTGAGGTTTATTTTAAGGGGACTAGAATAATTTGCCCCTCGCTGTACATTTAACGTGAGCTTGTGTTTGTAATGCTGCATCTGGAGCGATGAGTGGGGTCATCCCAATCAGGTGTGCTCGGTAGCTCACCAATGACAATGACGAGTGACGTCACGGGCGTGCCCGTGCGCTAACGGGGCTTCGATAGGCTTGCTCGATGTTCGGAAGGCGGCTGTCTCAAATGGGCACCGTGTCTGGACGACAGTGACCATGGCCAAAGGAATCGGCAACGGCTTTCCCCTGGCGGCGGTGGTGACCACGCCGGAGATCGCCAGCGCCCTCAACGCGGCAAGCTTCTTCAACACCTTCGGAGGGAACCCCGTCGCCTGCGCCGTGGGTTCGGCCGTTGTGGACGTGAGTTCTGCACTCGCTCAACAGCATCGATATTCACTCTCTGTAGCTACGAAGGTGAGCCCGCGATTACGCCATACCATGGCTGCATGGAAGGACATCGCAAAGTCAAAGTACATAGCAAAGGTCACACGAAAATCTTCTTACGCAACGACAACCAAATTAACAAGTTTTTTGTTTTGTTTTTTAAGTTATGTTGTGGCTATGCGAAACACTATCATTTTATTTTGTGATAAGGATTTGTACTTGTACCTTCGTGCACGTACTTTTTTTGGTTATGTTGTGAGTCTGGCATCTGGCCACTTAGAATTTGCTTCTTAAAGGACCCAATTGACAATCTGGAATAAAGCACACCTTACGCAATGAAACGCGACCTCTCACTCAATTATGGCTGAATGACTTTAAAGGCCGACTACCAGCTCGCGCTTTCCACTTTTTACACACTGATACAAAGAACCGGACTCCCCGAACACGGATGTGTCCGCAGAGACACATCCGTGTGCAACAAAAACGCGACTCTCTCCACGAAGCTTACGCTGACATTCCTTATGAATGGCGTTGACTTGAGGTTGAATCTTGCATTTGCTTTGTAACTACTGAAGATGCCTCCCGCATAAAAATGAAAAAAAAAAATTCTGTTTTTTTTTTTTTTTTTTTTTTTTAAGTTGGTGTTTTTATTTTCGTTATGACGTCTCCCGGCTTTTGGAGTATATTTGCAAACAATAATAGGCAAACTCCCGAGTTCAAAGTAATTGTTCCAACAAAAAAATAGCAAGAAAAAAAAAACACGTCAAAGTGCACACGAGCTGGTGTAGCGGATCCGTGCGCCGACTTTTCTTTTTGTCTCTTCACTCTCTCTTTGTTTCCTTCTGGCCGAGAGAGAGAGACGATGACTTCTTTGTATCAACTTCAGGGACCAAGATAATCTACGCTGGGGAGAAAAGCGAAGTTTGGTGGAGCTGTAATTAGGACACAGCGTCTCAATGGGCCAACAGGATCTAGCCGACGTGTTGGGTGTCCAGCGGGTAGGGAAGGCCTTGCGAACGCGTTGTTTTCTAGCCACTCAGTTGCGCGTCCAGGTGGCAGCACTTGTTTGGAAAAAGATGGATTGAAAAGGTGTTTAGTGCAGCGGACGACATCTTCACAAAGAAACGAGGGAAGATGTCCGATGAAACTTTTTGAGAGCCAGATGTTGCTCAAGGTCAGACAAGTGTGAGTGGCAACAATAAACGCTCCTGTTTCTTACCCTAGGACAGTCAGGTTGAAAGTAACGCCGTAAAAGTGACGGATTACTTTTTGAAGTATCGGTCACTTACTTATATGGGAGTGTGATTGTAACTGTTACATTTATTTACATTTAGCCATGGATAATTTGTAAATGTAATTCCTGACTTTTCTTTAGTAACGTCTACAAGTCTGAGTTTAGACAGATTGTTTGGTCAATGATGCCAGAGACTCACTGCACGTGCCAGATATACTATTCTATCTCATGAGTAGAATGTCTAAAAAAAGTGACGTAGTACTCACATTATGTCTGAACGACTCTTGGCAGCCCCTTATGCTTTCTGGGCTGATGCATTGAGCTTTCGAACCGCGGGCGAAGCATTTGGCAGCCATATTTGCATTTGTAGCTAAAAGTAACCAAAAAGTAGCCAGGAGGGAGGTTTATGGGGCTTCATCCCCCCTTTCCCGAAACCCAGCCGATCCGGAGCCAACCCCAATTTTTGGTCGCCAGACAGGCTCGAAATGTGTAGCCAATTTGGCGCAAAGTAGCCACCAACGCTATCACTGGCGCCATCCTAGAGTGATTACATCACTTAGAGGTAGAGTGGGCCGTTTACCGGCTTTGGCTATTCTAGGCCATGTTGACTAGATGTAGTCCTAAGGTGTAGTCCTAAGGTGTGAGCAGGCACGTTCGTCATTCTAGTCTTGGATGTTCGCTGCAGCCTGAGCAAACGGTGAGGGTTGCTCCGTCGTCACACCGGCGCAGGTGATCGACGAAGACGGCTGCATGGCCAACAGCCGAGAGCGTGGCCGGCGCCTGCTGCTCGCCCTGGCGGCGCTCCAGCAGGACTTTCCGGTCGTTGGCGACGTGCGCGGCAAGGGCCTGATGTTGGGCGTCGAGCTGGTCCAGGACAGGGTATACTCCCTCTGCTGTCGCCTTAACAGATCCTACGTTAAAATAGTTTTGGAGTTGTCAGTGGCCCCTTTCTAGAGGCCCCTCTCAGATCCAGCTAGCGGCCGATGAAGAGCCCTCAGTTGGGTGTCTCGGGCGCCTGCCCCAGTACTCGCTCACTGCCTACTCGGGGCGGTTTGCTACTAGGCCCAGCTGTCCGCTTAGTTCGCCGGCGGTGTCGGCCGTCCGGAGAACTGCTCCGCTCAGCGACGACGTGTCCCTGTCCAGGAGACCAAAGAACCCCTCCCGGCTGCCCGGGTCGGTGCCCTCCTGGAATCCTGCCGGGAGATGGGCCTCCTCATCGGCAAGGGAGGCCTTAACGGCAACGTGAGTTCGCTCTCCGTCTTTGCAGGCCCAAGGGACCAACGAAAGGAACTCGTATCTAACAATTTTGAACGTCTTGGCCACGCGCGCTATATATTTTGACAATCGCTCTCGCAAGAGAACCGGTAATTAGTTATAGACCGTTCCATTAGGGTCATAGCAGAGAGGGTAAAAGAGAAAAAAATGCACTTCCCCTCTCACCCCGCATGTCGTCCGCTCCGCCGAGTGGGCTGTAGCTAGCGTCCGGCTGGCGTGCAAACCCTGTTTAAAATCGCGTCATTTTGGAACTTTCAAGCACAGATGCGTAGATTTTGGTATGCGAGTTGTCGTGTAATATTATGCTAGATAAAAAGACTCACAGTGTTCAATTGCGCTGTTACCTGCGTGCAAATAAAAAAAAATATATAAGGAAAACTGTGTCAGATTGGCCGGTCTCTTTGGCGAAAAGTAAATCCGGTTGCTGTACCTTTTTTACTATAAAAAAGTTCGTACTGGTGTAGGCCTTTAGCGACCTTGAGTGGAAGTCTGAAATAATAAATAAAACGTGCTCTCGTGCCGCAATACAAGCAGTAGTTGAGGGTAGTACTGCCGGCTGACTTAACTGCTATTTAAGTCACGGAAAAAAGATATGCTAGCTGATCATTTAGCAAAATAGAACAACAGAGAGCTATATATAGGCTGATTTTGGAGTAGCCACAACTATTCTAAGAACGCGAACCACTTCACAACGGCAGCCACGAGCGAGAGTTCGATGTTCGTTAGAGCCCGCCGATACAGCCCAAAGATGGAGAACGGCAACCTCCCGGTTTGTCGTCTGCTAGCGGAGTCGGCGGCGTGCCCTCTCTCTCATTTTACCCCGCCGAACCCGCTGAACTTCCCGGATGTGTGGAGAGGGCGCTGCCGTCGAACAAAATGGTGCCGCCCAGAGAGCGCTAAATGGAATGGTCTATAGAGTCTCGCCACGGACGTCTTAGATTGGATCAATCGCAGATCTTTTGTCGCTGTTACACACTAAGGGTGTAAGGGGGAACACCCTTGGGGTGTTATAGCCCTTATGCTTCTTAGGGTGTTTGCCTCACCTCCTAGGACGAGTGCTGCTGACACCCTAAGGCTCTTCAGCATCGCTCCTAAGAGATGGCAAATATCCTAAGAAAATTAGCAGCATCCCAGAAATACATATTTTACGAGCAACGGGCCTACGAGCGGCACGCCCCACACAGTTGCACATGCACAGAACCCATAATCACAAAATCAATAAAACAGCTGTTTTAGTTCTACAACTCGGCTTGATAGCCGAGGTGTACAACTAAAGCGCGAATCACATGTACGATGAAACCGTCCGATCCGACAATACGGCGGTCGGAGGCGAGGGTTTTTTCAACGCTCTCCGGTGCTACGAAAACCCTCGGCCCTGAAGGTAATTCCGGCAGTACGCACGTCGGATCGGACCTTTTCGTCGTACATGTGTTTCGCGCTTTATTAAAATAGCCTGTAAAAAAAGTAATCGGGGTTTTTATTGGCCCTACTGCAAAACCTCAGTGTTTTATTTTTGTACTCTTTGATGCGTACTTTAGCTGTTTAATATTTTATATCGCACCGTCATCAAGGCTCTCGTAAAAGATAGGGCCGTCAGTTTGACTTCAGTGCGCTGTACGGCGAACTGAATTTTTAGGGTGTCGTATGTGTGACAACAGGTGTAAAAACCACACCTTTTTTTTTTTTTTTGGCATACTCGACAGCTGAAAGATACTCGTTGTCATGTGGCCGCCTTTGCGATGCGCCGAGAAACATGGAGAGGAGGAGGCGAGAGGGACGTCAGAACACCGTGCTCTTGTTGGAACGATTAAAGGGTAGACGTGAAGCTAGCAGCCTTTGTCCCCACCGCACTCGTCGAACGCGGAACACCGGCGTCCGGCGTTTGGCTTTCGCATTCGAACGCGTTCCAGGAATGCAGTGGAATCGTACCTTCCAGAGCTCGGCGTTCTGACGTCCCTCTCGTCTCCTCCTCCCATCCTCACTCTCGTCGCATAGACCCTATTCATAAGTGGGCGCCATCTAGCAGCTGCTGTGCCCATTATACGAGTCAGCCATTGTTTGGGCACGTACTCTGAGCACGCATCGGACACGAGGCTTCCGTCAGCGTTCGGCGAGGGCTCGGATCCAATCACGCGCTTCTTTTCCACGAATGGATGGATGGATGATATTAGCTATGCCCTTTGTAACGGGCGGTAGCTTGCGCCACCTAGCCTGAGAAAATGATTTCCTCCCACACTTAAATACCCGATTTGTTTCCCTGTACATCCCTGCAACTATCACCGGGCCGGGGGAATGAACCGCCAGGCTGACCTTTGGAGAATCGGGCTAATACAAAATAAAAAGAAAAAAAGAAAAACGCACCCTCGCCTTCTCCCCCCGGCGAGGGAGTCGCCAATTTTCCTCTGGTTAACCTTGTGGGGTTCTTTCCAAAATCCAGACCCACTGAGAGACAGGGTTGAGACTTCCGGCTGGAGCCACGTGGGTCTCCTTCCACCAATGCTCTAACCTCATTTTCGTTACCTCAACCCTTTTATAATCCACCCTCCCATCTTTTCAACCGAAACCCAGGTGTATATCGAATAATTATTGCCTCTAGCAATTCTTTCGACCGGGAGATGCATTCCGTGAACCCGAAGATATTATGCTTGCCGTCAAATCTTGACGCCAACATAGCAACATACGCGTAGCCTTCACAATATTATAGACTCTTTTTGAAAAGTGCATCGAGCAACACTGGCAGTCGCTATTGCTTGAGGGGAGAACAGACATAGAGGCCTCTACGTCTGTTCTCCCCTCAAGCAATAGCCACTTTTGAAAGTCCCTATTGTGAATGCACTCTTGAAAAAGGGTCTGTAATACTCTGAAGGCTACACGTATGTTGCTATGTTGGCGTCAAGATTTGACAGCAAGCGTAATATCTTCGGGTTGACGGAATGCATCTCCCGGTCGAAAGAATTGCCAGAGGCAATAATTATTCGATATGCACCATTCCACTGCTTACGATCTACCATCTAAGCGAAAAGCGCTGAGTCACTGGGCCCCGGACTCATGTGCGGCGTCTAATATTCCGCAGATGAGAGCTACTGCGGATGTCAGGACGTGAGCCCAGTAGACAAACATGGCAGCGCGCAAGAGCTAACTATTAGAACGACCTATAAAAAAATCATGATTTTTGAGGAAAAAATTTAAGCATACAAGATTTATATTATTTTATTCTGCTTTGTTTTATTTAAATCATATTAATTTGATTTAAATCGCTGTAGTTGGAAAATAGCGATTCATCACTATATAATGTGCCTTTCAACATGGCCAATTGATTGATCAATTCGTTCGATAATAAATAACTGCGGAAGAAAGAATTACTGGAACCGTAAGGTACAGTTAATTTAAAGGGACAATGAAGGCAATTTCGGACATCTTTTTGGCGATTGAACTGGGTTCCAGGCACGTCTCAGGCCACGTTGCCCAAATTTCAGCCGAAACCGGCGCTTGTGTGCCGCGCAAATCAATTAAACAGTCGCGGTAATAATCGTACTGAGATCGACTGGGGCGACGCCCCGAGAGTTGCGGGAGAAGTCAGGAGAAGCGGAGCTCACGTGACCGATGCGAGGCCAGGAAGCGCGACGTCACAAGAGACTCCTCAGCGATTGGTCGAAACGAGAGACGCGCCCTCGGTCACGTTTTGGTTCTCGGTTTTTAGGAATACTGTTCTAATTTGCGCTTGAGTAACCATGAAAAGCATAAATCGGACCGGAAAGGATTACTAAACCGTAAATAAAGCAGCATAATTGTTTTTTTCTTTGCTACGCTGGACGCAAAACGGCCAACGAGCAACTATGGGCACTTCGGCATGCGGGCCGCTCGTTACCGGCTGGTCGGTCTCCCTCGGGTGATGGCGGAGGCCGCCACACACGCACTCCCGTTCCGTTTGTGTTGGGTTACTGAACGGAAGCTCGAACTCGCTCGCGAGAGCGGCATTGCCGTCCATGTTGACAGATTCGACGAAACGACCGCGCCACTGCGCTGCTACAACCTACCGCGGTAACCAGAATCTGGTTCCCTAAATACTACCGATACCGACTATTCACACTTGACGTACTTCCTTCGTAGGCACAGAAATACGCGTCACAAATGGCTACAAAAAATTGGGCAGCATGCTATGTTCCCAAGAAGCATAAAAACACCATTTTAAAAAATTAGATAAAATCGTCTTCATTGTCCCTTTAAGTACTTTCTATTGATATAATGCCCACCATATCTAAATAAAAAAAGCTTTCTTTTTAAGAGCTTTGTTTGACTGGATAGAAGCGGATAGACCAAACTATAGCCCACCTGAACTTTTTGTTGCTTTATTTGTCTTTCGTGTTCCAACTTGATTACAATAAGACATTCTAGAGTTCCTCTTTTTCTATTTGCGTTTCGATTGTGTTGCAATAGGACGTTTGTGACTGACTAAATGAAACGTAGAGATCAAGCTTAGTGCTCTGCTTTGTTCAGAAGAGCACTTCTTTTTGCTCGCGTTCAGCTTGATATAAATCTTTCTTGCTTAGTTATTTTATTTATTGAAATATAAACCGAATGCCCATAAAATTATCAAATAATAGATACACGGAAAATTAAAAAAAAATATTTTTTTTCGGGATTAATTTTGGGGAAATGTTTGATTTCAATAATCGTAGCAAAACTGGTCTGATTTAAATCAGAATAAGATTAATCATAATATAAGTCACTATTTAAATTGCATCGATTTTTATTCTCCATCCTGGGTACAGTAGTCGCTAAACTCCGCTGCTTGTATCGGATGTAAGGTCGCTTACACTCTTTTCCGCACCCTTCTTACTCCTCAATACTGAAGGCGCGCGTCCCATGCAACAGCATCCGATTTTAGGACTAGAAAGGTACTCAAAATAAGCTATTGTCCTGAAAGGGTGTAGCCAGATGGGAGCCCACGATTAAGAGTGTAAAAGTGTTTAGTGTGCAAGGTGAGGCATTACAAGTAACAGCGGCATAGCACCGGTATCGTGCCACAAAAACCAATAGAAAATTTTATAAAAATCGTAACACGGTTGTTCAAGGTCAGCATCAATTCGGAGTTTTTTCGCTGTTTCCCGATCTAAAAGAAAAAAACCGGCTCGGGTGATACGTTTCCGGGTATATACCGATAAGACGGAAGCCTAACCATCACGGTGTCTGGCTTGCCCCGGCAGGTGCTGAGGATCAAGCCCCCTATGTGCATCACGGACGCCGACGTGGACTTCACGGCGGCCGTGTTGCGGAGGTCCCTGGAACGGCTTTCCCAGCAGTGAGACGCCGCCGAGATGATTTGAGTCTTTCGTCGGCCTCAGCAAACCCTCAACTAGGAACCCATGTCAAAAATAAATATTTTTTTTTTGCTAGGTTATTCAATTTTCAACATTAATACCCACCGTTTTTTTTTTTGTTTTTGTTTTTGTTTTTACAGCGGAGCTGTTAAGGGCTAGGTTCCTCAGGATCGTGTCCGGTATGTCGACACATACCTACCTGGACAGCTACTGCCATCTATAAGCGACGGCGGCAAGCACACAACCAGTATGGTTTCCGCCGTCGTTCGTAGATGGCGCCCACCTTTCCAGCTATAATAGAAGAATGGATAGTTGGGCGCGTTGGTGGGAATTTATCGTAGGAAACAGCGCGAAAAGCAGACGACGACGAAGAAGAAGCACACAGTGTATCGAGTACAGCTCCGCTGGTCTTCCTTCTTCACGAGACTGGAAAGGCTGAACGATTTTTTTTTTTCTTTTTGAATTACTTGAGAGGTTTTCCTAGTAACACTGAAAACTTGATGAAAGACGTAATTTGTGCCAAATTCGGGCAGTGCATGCAGCTTCTTCCCGACGGGTTACGAGAATTGTGATTGAGTGAAAGAAATGCTGGGAAAATAAAGGCTCCAACAGAACAAAAAGAAAATGTGCAATGTACTTTTTTAGACTGCGTGCTCTACCTGCAAGTTTTACAACGTATGACGTCTCGAAACGCCCTTTGCCGACGCCGAAGCAGCTGCGATACACGTTTGATACACGCGCGTAAGCTCTGTTCGTTTTTGCAAACACAACACTTGCCCCTGTGCAAGCCCAGTACAGCTGACGCTGTAAAATAAAAAGAAATCCCCGCAAATGTTGATGCCCGACCTAACTTGGCTATTTGCCCTACTCGGCCGTCTGCATTAGCGTCCGGCGCTAACTTTTACACGTAAACCAGCTGATAGGGGGTGGAGAGTGTGTTCGTTGCTGCGGAGGAAAGGGGAGTGCATCAGGTGTGACGTCATCGCGCTGGAATGCGACGTGGCACGCTGATGGTGGTGCGCTTCACCTGACCGGGGAGACACTTCATCGCACAGCCGACACCTAGCTTGCAAAGGCAAATTCTACAAGGTTCTAGTACGAGGTGGATTCAGTAGGTAATTGTAATTTATTTGCACTATAAATAGTTGCGTGCGCGGCGGCTTGCGCATATGCGCCTGCTACCGGCAGGGGCGGATCCAGACCTCCATTTTGGGGGGGGCGGTTCCTCGGCGTAAAACGGGGGGGGGGGGGGGGGGGGGGGGCAGGGAGTGTTTATATTTTTTGTGGAGTCATCGTTTTTACTAAACTCTGATAACATAATATAGATCTTGAGAGCTTTTGCATCGGTTTACCTGTAGGGGATGAACTCTTTGAACTTTCTGTGGCTATGCACACCGGGAGGCACTCACTTGATCGAATGACGTTTTAGCGAACGCCCACGTTTCATCGAACGACACTTTAGCGAATAGTAGGACGCCGCGAAGCGGCGTTTTCGGGTGGGCCAAGTGAGTTCATATTTTTGTAATGAGTTGCCGCAGACTGTCGCCGCGAAGCGGCGTAAAGCGCAGCGCGACGGATGGGTTAACGCGCGCCCCCGTTATTCGCTAAAACGAGCATTCGCTCAAATGTCGCCGTTCGCTAAAATGTCATTCGCTCTTGTGATATGGACCCATGCACACCAAGGCACACGCTCCCGTACTTTTGACTGCATAGCCTCAGAAAGCTGGGCATCTTTCCAACGCAATGTCTCTGCTCGTGCGGAAAATCACGTGCAATTGCAAGCCTACCAAAGCTATATTCACGTGCACGCCACACGTGCCTGCTCGTATGGGGGCACCAGTCAGGACGCTACACTGTAGCGTCCTGACTGTAAATTTGACCGTAAAATTTACTGTCAAATACCAGGCACATGATGCTGCCAAACTTGTACAGTAAAAATAACGGTGCACTGTAAATCTGGTTTACGATAAATTTAAACGGGGACCGTAGAAATCTACGGTCGGCCTTCAAATTTGCGGTAAAAAAAAAAATTTACAGCGCGCCGTTATTTTTACGGTGCAATTTAAACGGCGAGAAAGGTGGTAGTATTCAGGTTCATAACATCATTGTATAGTGATGTTATGAACTCAATGATGTTATGAACCTCGACTGAACCAAGCACGTTTTGAAGGCTTTCAGCAAGTTGGCCGAACATGTATTGTTTGTACAAGAAATGCCGACGTTGAAATTCATAAATGTTTTTTTGAACTGTTGATACCGGCATAAGAAGCGTTCCGTTGAACTTCAGGTACAAAAAAAAAAAAAAAACAAGGTCGTATTTTACGGCCTTCCTTTTTTCTCCTGCAGACAGAGACATTAACACGTCGTAGTTATCATTGGGGGATTGCATCACGTTAACAGCACCGTCTTCATTAGAATCCGCACTAGTCGACCGAGTCGAAGAGTCCTCAACCTGAAGCGGGCCTGCAGGCGATGCGCCGTCGCCCAAGAAACCCGTCACTCGTAAATGCGCCCAGTTCAAATGTGCCGTGATCGAACTATGATTTCACACCTTCTGACAGTTGGAGCACGAACACGAAAACAGAATACTGTCGGTGATGTGGCCTTTTAGATGTTTTAGCAAAGCCTCCCTTGTGTGGCACTCTTCTAGGCATGGTGGCAAAGTGCACTGAAAGCTTTCCAAACTCGTCGAAACAAACCAAACTTCCCTTAGGCGTACCAATGCCTATGTCTTCTCAAAATATGACACCTGAGAGCATCATACGTAACAAACTGGCGACAGCATCCTTCGTCCACACACTGAAGAATTCGAGAGCTGAAAACGTGCTCATCGAGTTGCACAACCATCAAGCGTGCTTGAACAGAAACTACAAATTCTGCAAGTAAACATCTTTTAGAGTGTTGTATTTATGCCACCATTACACTATCCTTGCCAATCAAGCAGTAGATTGATAGTGAAATACCTGCCTCGAGTATCCAGTTGCCTTCCGCTCCGAATTTTCAGGTGCACAAAAATCCGGGAATGCCACAAACGAACGAGGACAAAATGGCGCGGAGACGGGTGGGAAGGCGGGAAAATGAACTGAACGTCAGCTTTTTCCACTTCTTTCCGCGTTATCCCAACCAACGTTCCTTTCTTTTGTTTATGCTTCTAGCTAGTCGCATTGTTGCTCTACTGTTTGCTCTTAGTTCTCTTTTTTTTTTTTTTTTTTTTTCCTTTTTCAGTTAAGGCAGTTACGCCAGTTACGCTCTGCGTTGGCGCGGCTGGCGCGGACAAAGAAAGGAGGTGAAGGGGCGAGAGGAGACTCTCTGGGTTTCCGCAGCTTCCGAAAGGTCAAACGTGGTGACCAATTAGCGAAGCGCGTCTTTTCTTTCTGTTTTCTTGCTCCATGAAGTTTTGCGTTTCCCTCTCGGTTTTTTTTGCTCGTTTACGGTGCATTTCAGATAATTCCTCTTCACGGCGTACTTGTAGTTTTTATTAGCGTATAGCGCCGTAAATTTGACGGTTACTTTTTACAGTGTATGCTTTCGAAGCTAAGCGCTTGTGAGCCCGAGCATGCTGGGCGCCGATAAAAGCTGCGCACAATGCCTGGTTACTACTACTGATATGTCAAAAAACACCTCGACCGCACGAACACTCGTGTGGGGGAAGCTCCAAAACTAATAGATTGCGTTTGTCCAAAGTGAAGTAGGGTAAGATGGGCCAAATGAGACGCGGGGCAAAATGCGACAGTTGGAGTAAAGGCACCCAACGAAAGTTTTTGTTTAGTGCCAGCTATCACCTAGACACAAGTCTCAAGCTTCACTGAGACGTGCCTTAGCCTGTTCACTTTGCGTGAGCCATAAATGACTGGCAAGTCCTTTCCGGAGAAAAAGAAATGCCGATTTGAGATTGCCGAGTTTACCGCCCGTCAAAGAGGTGCATAATTCCGCGCGAGATTTCGCTTCGAGAAGTACGCCCCGGTTGGCACAGACTTTCTACCAAGGTATAATTTAATTTCATTCCTAAGTTTTATTAGCTTCATGCAGACCAAATTTGAGTGTTCAGCGTGCTTTTTTTTACGGAAATAATTATTCACGTAACGGGATACGCGCGAGACAAAACGCGACAATGTGGCATTGTATGACGCGTGTGTCAATAATGTACCAGTTTCCTGGTTGTTCCTGAGTCATATTTTCCTCTCGGTGTCTAGGAGGATCAAAACGTACAAAAGAAAGACAACAGGGGCTTCATGGCGCATAAGTAACACTACGAATGCTCTTGAAAGTGAAGCAACAGCGTCACTCCCTTCGCGTTGCCGCCACACTTTTTGGCGCACCAAGGGATGTGCTTCAAAAGCGAGCAAAAAGATAAAAAACGGAAAAAGCAATGGCTCCACAAAAAAAAAAAAAAAATGGCGAGGCGTTTGGGGGGGGCGATCGCCCCCACCGCCCCCCCCCCCTTGGATCCGCCACTGGCTACCGGCGGGGCAAAACATGGGGCAAAAAATGAGATGTTAGGCAAAATGGGACGTTTTGAGTTTAGCGCCATCTGTAATTGATACCTTGCGGACAAGTGCCGGCAATGGTCCGCTTTACTTCATAGAAACTCTGCTACGATAGACCTGTTGCAAAACGTACAGCGCCACGACGGCAGGGAATTTTGGGAATACGTTATTCATCGTAACTTACCTTCACTGCTGAGCACCGCAACCGTGGCAGTTCTCTACCAGGTTCGACAAAGCGTTGGTGCAGCAGACGACAGAGCCGGTACAAAGGAGAGGGATGACTCAGAGCCGGACTCAGAGCCGGGGAGAGTTTGGCCAGTGGGTGTGGCGACGAAGGCGCCGGAGAGGAGAAAAGTAAATGAAAGGGAGGAGAGCGCCGAAGGAGCGAGAGAGAAAGAAGGGAGCAGAGAGGAGACGACCGCCATATTTGAGCAACGCTGTCGGAGACTGGTCGGAGAAGAGCACTGCTGAGGCTACGCGTCGTCTGCTACGGGCCGACTTCTTTTTCGCCTGAATAAAAGTTTGTGGCCCATAAGCCGAAAAATCTTCATTTATTAGCTTTTTAACCCACCGAGGAATAACAGAATGTCATT